GTAGACCAGGCTGGTCTCAAACTCACAGAGATCTGCCTGCCTCTGCCTCCCGAGTGCTGGGATTAAAGGTGTGCGCCACCACTGCCTGGCTAGATATTTATCTTAAATATTCCCTTTTTAAGAAAGGATGGAGGCGCACCCTTTTTAAAGACTTTATGAGCTGGGTGTTGGTGCATGCCTTTAATCCCAGCACTCAAGGGGCAGAGACAGGGGGAATCTATGTGAGTTCCAGGCCGGCCTGGTCTACAGAGTAATGCAGAGTGAGTTCCAGGATAGGATCCAAAGCTACAGAGAAACCCTGTCTTGAAAAAAAAAATTTTTTTTTCAGTGTTCCTTTGTCACGAGTCCTTGTTTGTTTTCTTCCTAGTAAAGATTAAGTATCACTTTTTTTTTCTTTTTGGGTTTTTCGAGACAGGGTTTCTCTGTGGCTTTGGAGACTGTCCTGGATCTAGCTCTTGTAGACCAGGCTGGTCTCGAACTCACAAAGATCCACCTGCCTCTGCCTCCCGCTGGGCTCTGGCTGACCTTTAAAAGGATCTGTGTTCAATTCCCAGTACCCGCATGGCTGTTCACAACTGTCTATAATGGCAATTCCAGGAGATCTGGCATCCTCACACAGCAGTCAAACCCCAATGTATATAAAAAATGAATAGACCTTTAAAAAAAAGAATTTCTGAAAATACCCCCTGGGGGGCTGGAGAGATGGCTCAGCTGGAGAGATGCCTGTCCAGCCATTCTGTTTCTTTTACTTAAGCGTCGGCTTAAACAGGCGCATTCACGCTTACCAGGAATACCCAGTTATTTTCTCCTTCTTGGGTACCTCTAAGCATCCTGCTACCTAGTAGGATATTCTTCTTAAATTCATAATTAAGATTGCCCTGAATTTGAAAGATACCAAATCTTAAATTAAAAGCCTTAAGTTTAAATCTTTAATAGTTAATGACCACTGTTAATTAGATTTTTGTTCCTTTGTTTTAGTTTTGCCCTCGGCCTGATTAATAATCAAACTCTGGCAAGAAAGAAAGTTAAAGGTGTCTCATGAGAGCCTGTCCTCTATTAGAGACAAATTTTATATAGTATTTCAAACTTTTTTTGTTGTTTTTGTTTTTCAAGACAGGGTTGATCTGTGCAGCTCTGGCTGTCCTAGAACTTGCTTCGTAGTCCAGGCTGGCTTCAAACTCAAAGATCCACCTGCCTCTGCCTCCAGAGTGCTGGGATTAAAGGCATGCACTGCCAGCATTCTGTTTCAAACTTCTAATGAATAATCAGTAGTGAATGGACAGCTTGGCACCTAAAAATATGGCTGTCTGTGTCTTGGCGTTCTGATTATTCCAGGTATATAAACATCCATGCGTAAAGCACACTACAGACTTGCACAGTGCCTTTCCCTACCTACTCAGCTACAGATCACAATCCCAGACATGGTATGGGGCCCTGGAAATGCCAGTGGAATACCATTGTACCATATCTGAGACAACTTTGTCAGACAGCTCTTTATTCATTTCCTTTCTAGGACTCCCATTACAGTTAATAGTAATAATAGTCCTTATGCTAGCAAATGACTTAAGAAATTTTAATATTAATCATGTTACTAAAATCCCTTACTATCCACACAGTCAAGCTATTGTGGAATGACAGATACTTAACTGGCAAATTAAAAAAAAAATAATTAAATAGGGGGTATTTATACCCACCTAAATCCTCACATACTATTTAGCTATGCTAACTTTAATTTTTTAAACAATTTTTAAACCACCAGGCAGTGCTGCACATGCCTCTAATCCCAGCATTCAGGAGGCAGAGGCAGGCAGTTGGAGGCCAGCCTGGTCTTGAGTTCCAGGATAGCCAAGGCTGTTACACAGAGAAACCCTGTCTCAACCTCCCTCTCCCCCAAAATGTTTCTAAAGGATAATGCTTTTGCCCTAAAGTAGATACTGCTTAAAGTCAATATCAAAAAAAAAAAAAGAGAGAGCCCTATATTCTAACATCAGGGTGGGTTTATGCTTGAGTCTTTTCAGAAAATGAACAAACCAGAGACCACTGGAGAAATGAAGCATCGGAAAGACAGACAACTAATCCCAAAGAGGTACAGTAAGCTGATAACTTGGGGAGGAGACATCAAGACTTTAACTCAAGCTGAGACTTGGGGAAAACAACAAGGACTAACCCCCCAAAAAAGGTACTAATGGGTTTTTTGTTTTGTTTTTTTGAGCAAGGTTTCTCTGTAGCTTTGGAGGCTGTCCTAGAACTCTGAAGACCAGGCTGACCTCAAACTCACAGAAATCTACCTGTCTCTGCCTCCCAAGTGCTGGAATTAAAGGTGTGCGCCACCACCACCAGGCTTTTTTTGGCTTTTCAAGACAGGGTTTCTCTGTGTAGTCCTGGCTGTCCTGGAACTCACTTTGTAGACAAGGCTGACCTCTGCCTCTGGAATGCTGGGACTAAAGGTGTGTGACACCACCTCCCAGTGTATTACACCCATTTTGCTCACAGCAAACTATTAGCAGAAATTAATCAAAAGATGGTTGAATGGAGGATGGCTTTTGCCTTTCCTCATCCTCTGTTAGCTTTTCTTACCATTCTGTTTTTATTTATATCAATAGTTTTGGGGTTTTTTTATGATCTTATTTATCATGTTCTGTCTGCATGTGTCCCTGCAGACCAGAAGAGGGCACCAGATCTCATTTTAGGTGGTCGTCAGCCACTGGGAATTGAACTCAGGACTTCTGGAAGATCAGCCAGTGTTCTTAACTGAGCCATCTCTCCAGCCACCTTCTCTTATGCTTGCCTGTATTAATTAGATTAGCTATAGAGGCAATGCATTCAACCTTGGTCTCTATTACGGCCACTATTTTTTTCTTTAAAAAAAGTTAGGACAGTGATGGCCCATGCCTTTAATCCCAGCACTTGGGAGGCAGAGGCAGGCCGATCTCTATGAGTTCCAGGCCAGCCTGGTCTAGAGTGAGTTCCAGGACAGCCAGAGCTGTTACACAGAGAAACACTGTCTCGGAAAGAAAAGAAAAATAGAAAGGAGACCGTGTTGGGGGCACAGAAATCCTTGTACCCACAGAAAAGCACTAAGAGAACCAGGAATGTTCGTCATGCAGGGGCGTCTCCTCAATGGAGGAGATTAAAAAACAGTTACCTGCGTTCCATCCAGAAAGCTGAGAGTGGATTTTGTTAATGACCTGGTGACTTTTTGTTATCTGTGGAGACACACCTCACCCTAACTTCTCAGGATAGCTATTCCAGACTCTTCTGTCCCTAGACCATTTCCCATCCTTAGGGGAGATATCACATGTTCTTTACATCCTGCTGACCTCTATGCTATCAGTCAGAGACCACACTAGATTCTAGGCCTTTTAGCTATAGAAGCCACCCTCATGGTCACATGTACTTTGTAAAAGACTTTCTATGTAGTCACACCGTAAGCTTTGTTGTGCACCTGCAATTGGACTGATTGTTGCCTGGAAAACTGTACTATGTTTTAAATGTGCTGACAATGAACTGCCTGACATTAGACTCCCTGAAGTCTGATCCAGGTTGACTAAGTCAATCTGAACTGGGTTTTTTTTCTTGTCTCTTTGCAGATCACTGCTTGCATTGACACCTGCAAGGTCTTGTCTTCCCCATCCTGTCCCCATGTCCATCAGTGGACACACCTCACCCTAACTACCTTTTCCATGTGTTTCCCTCTCTCCTTTCCCCGGAAAGCCAGCCCTAGGAGGCTGAAGTCTCCAGTGTGTCCCGTGTGCTACATGCTCAGGGAACACTGGCCAGATGAGATTGAGGGTTCCTTAGAGGAGGCTAGTCATGACCTTCAGAGCGATCAAGGGTGGGTACCGATGCCTGGAGAGGTTCTTGAGGAGTGTATGACTTTTAAGTGTGAAAACAGTTAGAAAGTGGCCTTGGGGGCCGGGTGGGGGAGAGTGGCTCTGCCACTGAACCTCTGCATGGGGGCATCTCGAGTTAGTCAAGTGTAGCCAAGCGCAGTGTGAGGCTGGCATTGCACCAGATACAAGGGTCATAACTGGCCACCTCCTGACACTGCACAAGATGCCAGTGGCCCTCCCCCTTCACGGCAAAGTTCCTGACCACTCATAGGATTCTAGAGGTCAACCTTTGAGAGGTCTGAGAGTCCATGTCGGAAAGATGCAGAATATCAGAAAAAAGATGTATGGGGGTGATGGGAGGTGTTCCTGGATGAGGAAACCATCTTGTGCTGAAGAACAGACCACACAGGCTCAAGAGAGGTGCAAGGCTGTACCTTGCCCAGGATCCAGGATACCAAGGAGGGTCCTGGCAAGTTTGGGTCTTTTAGACCCAGTTTCTGTCTGTCCTCAGTTGACTTCTCATCTTTACTCCAGACCCCACTGTTTGTCTTTACTGCCCACCAACCTTTACCATTGACTTTCAGTGGCCACAGGACACACACTTCAGGGGTTTGCATCAGGAGCCTTTAGTGCCATTCACATAACTGCCAACTTCTGTTAGCTAACCATTACAGCCCATACCTTCTGTGAGCACAGGGACTTGGCACGTCTAAATCCTGGCCCTGGCGAGCCCTTGCTGTACCCAGACCTACCTGGACCTTCTTGGCATCTTCCAAGCAGCCTGCCTCTCTGTCTAGCTAGGCTCCTCAGCATACCACCTCCTATTACAGTTCCTGTTTTGACCTCCCTATGCGTGGAGGTCTCTGTTCTAGCAATGCAAGGACAGAGCTAAATAGCCCACAGGGCTATTCTTGGAAGGAAGATGAGTTACCTGAGTTATACAAACCCCAAGTAAGCACAAGGATGGGGGCCCAGAGGGGTACTTTCAGGATACTCCTAACTGGGGATCATTTCTGTCACTGAAAGGTAGGCCTGACTTTGAGCATGAATACTGTAATCCCTGGGGCATGTCTCTGTGCGGCTGCCTATAGATCTGGAGCAATGAAGCGCTCCTACCAGGGAGGCAAGGAGGGTGGTGCAGGAAGAGTGCACCCAAGTGCTGTGAGTAGTTGCCAAGGAACAAACAACTCTTGGAACCCTGTGTTCTGACTAGACAATTGCAATGTTTGGGCAAAATCACATGTGCAAAGAACCTGTACCAAGTACCTATTTCCAGGTTGTGACTGATGCCCGCCTACCACACACCACCCTCACTTTTTTTTTTTTTAAACAGTCTTTGTAGCAAAGGCTGGCCTTGAACTTGTAATTCTGGTTGGTTTGGTTCTCCTCTTGATTGTCATTTGTGGTCCATCTTCCCTTCTTGGACTGCCAGACTCCACTGTCCCTACTCTTGATCCTGCTGGATGTCCTTATGGGACTGGGGATGGGTAGGATGTGGAGACAACTTTGTTTAAATGACTCCAGCTTTGCTGAGATAGGTTTGGATCTTTGGGGTTTTTTGTTTTGTTTTGTTTTCTAATTTGGGGTAGTTTTGTTGTTGGCTGGAAGTTTGAGACAGGGTCTTGCTATATAACATAAGCTGGTAATGAATTTGTCATCCACCTGCCTCAGTCTTCTGAGTGTTGAGACTGCCACCTGACCTCTTGTTCAGGGGTAGATCATACTAAGTCTTTTTGAGATGGGACTCTTTGTCTTATGCCATGCCCTGGCCTGAGGATCAGAAGGGTTACTCTGTTGTACTTTATCCCAGAATGTTCCAGGAGTCTCCATAACCACTGTGGCCTGGGCTCCAGGTTGGCAAGAGGTACAGAAGGTCTCTTCCCTGATGCTGGTCCCAGGGACCATAGCATATAGCCCCTCTTTCTGCCCCTCCTGCTGCAGGATGCAAACAAGGAAAAGTCACCATTCCAGGTCAGTCACAGAAGAGCAAACTGCACAAGAGTGGCCATAGCTTTAGCCCACAGTTAGGCTTTAATTCTTAGTGGGGTGGGAGGTCATCACTCTAGCCTTTTCCCTGCTTGGTCATAGGTGGGGCTGTGTTTAATTAAGACTCTAGTTTTTTTCTCTATTTCTTTAGGCACACTCCTCCTCTCAAGTTCTTTGTGGCTTGTGATACTGACAACACTCCTGCCAAGCACCTGTTCCCCTGGTGTGCACAGTTCTGGGATGTACAGACTACATCCACATATCCTCATAGGTTTAGGTTTACAGTATCCAAAGCTATGAGAAATTGCTGTCAGCAGGAGCTCCCAGAGAACTGGGCCAGGATGTGGAGCTCAGCTGCAGCTTTGGGATTGGAGTACAGCACTCCAGGTGGACCATCTAGGACCCCCATCAGCCATAACTGTGGGGGCTGCTGGGATCCATAGGAGCCGAGTCCCGCCGGCCAGCTGGCCGGACAAGCTGCCACAGGCGGTGGCTGAGATTCTGCACCTGGCATGTGCCCAGTACACAGCCGACCCGCAGAAGCTGGGCATGGGGTCTTCGGGGTCCCAAGTGTCGCTGGGGACCTGGGTGTCGGGAGCCACCATTCTGAAGAAGATGAACCATAGCAAGGGTCGGGTTGCCCCTTCCCTGTGGCTGGGGAGCATGATGAGGCTTCCAGCCTACAGGTCTGAGTGAAGAGTGTCCAGGCTGCTGGCCACTGGAAGGATTCTTCGCTGGGGATTCTCTGCGGAAGGGGAAGGGAGATGGAAACTCAGTGGCCTGGCATAGCCGTCCAAGGGCTCTTAAGCCCACCTACTTCTCTACAAAGTTTGAGGGCACTGACAGGGGAAGCCCACAACTTCCCCAAAAGCCTGGCCTAGGACCAGGGGAAGCCCAAAGCCTGACCCTGTCCCGGATCTGAAGACTAGGAGGGAATCCCATTACCCTTCTGAGCTTGCTTACTGGCAGTTTGGCCATCTCCTTAGCCTAAGTCACATGTACCATTAACAGCACCACTCTGGGCAAAGGTCTCCAAAGCACTTAGGCTCTGTGGGCCACTGCTCCTAGAATTCAGAAAGAGCTCCCTGGGTTCGTCCCTGAGAATGAGTCAAGTCTCCCTTGCTCCAACACTCCAATAGACCTTTTATGAAAGAGCCTCTCTCTCTCTCTCTCTCTCTCTCTCTCTCTCTCTCTCTCTC